CCGGTGAGATTTGAACAGCCGAACTGCAGAACTGCAGTCAGCTGAAGTAGCCTGCAGTGCTGCATTTAACCACTGCGCCACCTCGGCTCTAATTGCACCCGGATGAATCAAAGATCGCCCAATACTATTTCCTAGTCATTTCATTGCAATCCCACATGCTGAGAAAACCTCAACAGCCCAATTCAAACTAGTTCTACCTGAAGAAGGTGGTCCTGAAGGTACCTTGGTGTCAAGTCATTAAGGGTTGTGTAGGTTAAAAGCAGTTTTTCAACTTCTGGTCAGAAGCGTACTGAAAACCAGTGCAACACACAGAACTAATCATAATGTGAAAACAACAGGCAGGTACTACATTTTACATCAATGATACCTTAAGGTAGTCTTAGTCTGCATAGACAGTCCATAGTAAGTGAATTGAAATAGTCCTTTAAGTAATAAGAGTAAGAATTACTCCCATCAGGACCTCCAGATCAGAGGTGGGTTTCAAATCTCGGCACTACCAATTTGCATGCGCAGAAATGTCCGGGTGGGTGGTGGAGCCTCCCACTGCCGCCACTCCTGGTTCGGCTGATCCGGGCCGAACCGGAAGCAACGCACTTCTGCTCCAGATCCAGAAAGAGCTCACAGAATCTGGGAGAAGAACTTTAGCACTTCTGTTGGTAGAGTATTGCATGCACAGCTCCTGATGGCCAATAAGAAAACTTCCCTGCACCTTACTCCCAAAAGGAGAGTGGTGTTTTCTTAAACAAGACCACTGGAAATCAATCTCCTTACACAATAATGGATTCCAAATCCACCATTATGAACAGGCAATGATATTCCAAAATCAACCCTGCACTGAGGTCTAAGAAGGTTGGCATTCTGCCATACAGCAAGATGCCACACAATCCCAATTTAGTCCTACAGCCCAATTTCATATACAGGCATTCATAGCCTATCATCTCTAGAGAAGGGCCTCTGGCCAGTAGAAGATAAATTGTGGTTCATTGCCTTCTGACTTTTCTATCTTGGAACCGCTTTCATTTTGAAATAGAAAAGCTGGAAGAGCAAATCACTGATAGACCAACTCCATCCAACATATTTCGATGGTAATACCAGGTGGCATCTATCTTCAACGCATGAATGAATGCAGTTTAATTGTTAATATAATTATAAATTGTGTCATTTATCAGGAACAGGCCAGGATTCACCTTCCTTCTTCATCACCTTCATAATTTTTTTCATCAATACAAGTTTTATGTGAACTGGAGGCAAAAATATCTTTCTTGGGTCAATAAGTATTTCATGTGCCATGTTTTTCTGTCCTAGAACCAAATTCTTTTTCATATAATGCAACTCTCTTGCATGCTTGTTTCTTTCACATATGTAACAACAGTCGGCTTGGTATATCTGAGCTGCATTCCAAGCAGTAGATCAGTACTTTTAGATCTCCACAGATATTGGAGATCTTGATGTACCAGATGTGCTTCAACAACAGCTCCATGTTTTAATGTTTCTTTTATATGTGCAGACTATTGCCAAAAGGTACTGAAAGTATACATTGCCACTTGTAAAAACAGATTTCCATAAAATGGTGTGGGATAGGCTAAATGTGTGTTTATTTTCATGTTTAATAGCCCAAAATCTATAAGATATACTCAAAACTAGGAAGTAAAATATTTGTTTTACATTGCAACAGCTTTGCATAAGACACTATTTTCCATTAGCAGTCAATGAAAATTTATTAGGTAAATCACACTCTTAACAAAAGCATATAAAATATTTATGCTGTAGAAATAAACTACAGTATTTCCATAAATCTTCTGGAATTGTTGTCATGGTTTCTTTCAGGGATAGTTTTTTTTTGTAGCTGATAAACAAAGCAAGTTAACTAGTCAGTTTTCTGAAGTCCACAACTGAAGCTACACTTACCGGCATAATGCACTGGAATTTCTATCTTCGGCCCTATGACATAATGGCCCTCTTCTAGACTATGAGCTGTAATAGTTGTCCATTGTCGGCATGAATGAATCAATAGATAATCACTCTCTCGAAGACCATCTATAGGTTCTCCTACAAAAAGAGATTAAAGTTTAAGTCATGTTTGATTAATTATTAAAGTAATAGCAATAACAATAGCACTTATATACTGCTTCATAGTTCTTTACAGCCCTCTCTAAGCAGTTTACAGAGTCAGCATATTGTCCCCAACAATCTGGGTCCTCATTTTACCAACCTTGGAAGGTTGAGTCAACCTTCTTTTTCGATTAATGATTAAAGTAAATTAATCTTAAACTTTTTAGGTGTACAGCCTAACTATTTAGGTTGTACACTGTAGAAAGTAAAAATTGAGCCCACAGTTTAATCCTAATCTAATCTAATGTAATCGAACCTCTGCAATAGATTTATTACACGGCCAGTTCCTGTCAACTCTGTCCTGCACTCTACAATACTAAGCAAAGCTGAATACTAATTGAGCTGTTATAAGGATTATAGCATTATTTTTATCCAATTTGGTCCTATACAAACCAATTAGTTAATTTAACGTGATTTAAATTAGATTTTACTGCTTTGGCCTTATGAAACTAATTATAGGAAGTCATTCCCATATCATCATTTTTACTTAATTTTAGAGAAAATTATACTTTCCTACTTTTTCCCAACTTAAACATTATCCATCACAAATTCCTGATTGGTGATTCAAGCAGATATTTTTTGGTTGTGCAACATGAACAACCACTGTGTTACTGCTGTACTCCAATATAATTCAGCTGTTTCCCCATCTGTTTTGTAATCCATCCTATGTGGGAACCAGGTCACTTAAGACTATGTTCATGGCAAACCTATTTGTACTGTACCTCCTTCCTATTCACTGTTGTTGGGTGGCAAAATTATAATGTGTGGTTTCAAGTTGATTACCTGCTTACATATAATATTTTCACTCCTCCTGGTAAAGAGAAGTTCACAAATTAATGTAAATCTATACTTTGTTATACAGTTTTTCTATCATTCTCTTACTTTCCTTTTTTGAAAGAAAAATCATATCACTCTGAACTAGAAGATTCACCAATCTGATACTTCATCGAGGAGGTTCTACTCAACTAGAATATGCTCTATTGAGATAAAAGGAATTCTATTTGATACAGAGAGATGATCTGAATCAAGCTTGCACTCAATCCCGACAAGACTCAGTGGCTATTGATGCTCCCTCCCAAGATGGTCCAGCTATTCCATCTCTCAGCCTGGGGGGTGAAAGTATACGCCCCTCAGAGAGGGTCCGCAATTTGGGAGTCCTCCTGGATCCACAGCTGACGCTAGAACATCATTTGTCGGCTGTGACCAGGGGGGGCTTCGCCCAGGTTCGCCTGGTGCGCCAATTGCAACCCTATCTAGA